TTCTTATAAAGACATAATTACAGCAAAGCAGGGCAGGAAAGTTGAAGGGGAGATGACCCCAAAAAAGCAGAGGTGACAAGGGCTAAGAGGGTTCTCGGGGCTTCATGGCCACCCCTGGGGAGGACTTGATTACATTTCCATTTGTTTTATCTTTGCTCATGCTGACCAGGCAGTGAGGTCAGACCTCACAATGCATGCATGGTACAGCTACAGTTGGGAGAGAGGGAAATCTGGTGGTCACACCAGATGACAAAGCTAACCCCTTTAACAATTTCTTTGCCTCTATCTTTTTGAGCAGGGACCGGGGCATCTCCCCCACCAGGATCCCCGACGGACCCAGAGGAGGCACTGCCAGGCCCAAGGTCAGTGAGGATCAAGTCAGGGAACTTCTGGTGAGACTAGATGTGTTCAAATCAGCAGGTCCTGATGATCTCCACCCCAGAGTGCTGAGAGAATTAGCAGAGGTCATTGCAGGACCCCTGGTACAGCACTCATGGTGCTCTGGCGAGGTGCCGGAGGACTGGAAAAGGGCCAATATGATCCCCATTTTCAAAAAAAGGGAGGAAAGAGGACCCAGGAAACTACAGGCCCGTTAGTCTTACCTCAGTCCTGGGGAAGCTCTTTGAGAAAATTATCCAGAAGCACATCTGTGAGGGACCAGCAGGGGAGATCCATGCTTAGGGGCAACCAACATGGGTTCATTAGAGGCAGGTCCTGTCTGACCAACCTGGTGGCCTTCTATGACCAGGTCACAAAATCCTTGGACAAAGGTGTCGCGGTGGATGTAGTCTTTCTAGACTTTAGGAAGGCCTTCGACACTGTCTTTCATGCCATTCTCATTAAAAAATTAGGCAACTGTGGCGTTGATACCTACACAGTCAGATGGGTCACAAATTGGCTGGAGGGCCGCACCCAGAGAGTGGTGGTGGACAGGTCTTTTTCAGCCTGGAGGGATGTGGGCAGTGGGGTCCCCCAGGGCTTGGTCCTCGGGCCCGCACTGTTCAACATTTTCATCAGTGACTTGGACGAGGGGGTAAAAAGCACCTTGTTCAAATTCGTGGATGACACTAAGATGTGGGAAGAAGTGGGCATGCTAGAGGAGAGGGACAGGCTACAACTAGATCTAGACAGGTTACAGGGGTGGGCAAATGAGAACAGGATGGGTTTCAATACTGACAAGTGCAAGGTATTGCACCTGGGGAGGAAGACCCAGCAGCATACCTACAGGCTGGGGAACTCCCTTCTAGTCAGCACAGAGGCAGAAAAGGAGGAGGAACCAAGAGGAACACGGGCCACCAATGTGGGGACATGGTCAGGAAGGCTAATCACACCTTGTCATGCATCCACAGATGCATCATGAGCAGGTCCAAGGAGGTGATCCTCCCCCTCTATGCGACACTGGTCAGGCTGCAGTTGGAGTACTGCATCCAGTTCTGGACGCCACACTTCAGGGGGGATGTGGACAGCATTGAGAGGGTGCAGAGGAGGGCCACTCGCATGATTGGGGGGCAAAAAGGCAGGCCCTATGAGCGAAGACTACGGGACCTGAACCTGTTCAGCCTCCACAAGAGAAGGCTGAGAGGGGATCTGGTGGCCATCTACAAACTGGCCAAGAGTTCCAGTTTTGGGGGAGCAGACCAAATTAGCAAAAGACCCAGAAAGCCCAAATTAGGATATGTGTCTGTGATGGGCTTGTGAAACAAAGGAATATGCTGACAGGAAAGAACATGGACAGTATGACGACCACAGAAAGATCAATGGGCAATAGCCACAGATTAAAAGACATCAGGAGAGGAAAATAATATAAAAGCAGAGACTTTAGAGCAACAAAGGATCCTCTGTCCCTGCAAAGGGTCCCTAAGAGAGGTCCCCGAGAGAGGAACCTGAGGCACGTGGACAGAGGGCATACCCCCAGCCTGTGTCATCTACTCCACTGAGGGATGGGCCTCAGCCTCTCACCTCCAGGCTGCTGACATCAGACATTCAAGAGAGAACCTCAGAGTGAACCTCGTGTCCTGGCCAGATGTAACTTGACTCTGATTACAGCCATAGGGTTGGTAGCTATAAAATTGCTTGTATTATTCTTTTCTGTTATCGCCGTGTATCAATAAATTTATCTATTATCAAATGGAAAGGTAGTAGTCCATCTGGGGGTTTTGGGTCCCCCCGGAACAAAGCATCTGGGTCATAAACCCAGCGCCAACAATCCTCTGTGGCAGGTTTTCATGTGACAAGTCCAATATGAGATCCCTGTAACCCAATCAGCAGCTTGAGGCTTCCCTCTGCTCATCTCTGTCTAGTATAATTAAGAGGAATGGGCTCTAGCTTCCAGCCATGGTTCCCAGACTAACCTGGGGCTGTAACTTGGGCATTGCCCATCATCAGGTTTGTCAAATCTACACTCGCTAGTACTCAGTTAAATTCAGCTCTGGAGGTAGTACCCTGCCAGGTAGTAAAGGAAGAGGTCCCTCATCAGTTAGTTTTATTAAATTTCACCCACCACTTTAACCATACTCTGGCATGTGTGTCTTATTGCTTCTAAGTCTACACCAATACTCTTTGCTGCCAGAGCTCAAAAATCACGCTGCCAGCTCTAGGGCAGAATGCAGGGGACTCCAGAACATTTCTGGACCATCTATAGATCTAGCTGGAAAGATATCTGTGTTGTCATTACCCAAGATTGCTTCTTGTTTTATTTATTATATGTAACTATTCATATTAAAGTAGTACTCTAAGTAAGATCACAGCCGCCCTGTGTAAAACACAGCACAGAGAAGAGAACAGATGGTCCTTATCCTAAAGAGCTTATATTATAAAGTGAAGAGTTAGAAGTATTATTTTCCCTGGTTAACAGCTGGAAAACTGAGGCACTACATAATAAGCAAATTGCCCAAGATCACACTAGAAGTACATAGCAGTCAGGAACTAAAACCAGACCTCTTAAATACTAGTCCTTCACTAGTTCAGAGACTATTCTATACAGGAAGTTCCATTTTTAAATAGTGATCTACCAGGAGGAAAGCCATCTTAACAATTAGCTTTAGATCTATCATTTCTATTCCTAGTATTCATCTCACTTTTCCTAAACTTTGCACCTCCCTCCAGGGAGGAACATGTCAAAGCATGTAACAGTCATGTGGGCTTTCTGCAAGCATTGGTGTCATAGTTCCCAAACTGTTTGTAGTGGTGGCACCACCTCCAATTGGAAAACACTTTTGGCAGGCTTGTGACCCCAGATAACAGTATAAATTGAAGTGCTGTCCAGCTTTTGACCCCATTTATGACTGTTGTGACACCAGTTGACCTCAAGACCCCTAATTTCAGAACTGTTGCATCAATAAGTGAAAAATCTATGGCACATTTTATTCTGGAAGTCACATTTGATGACCACATTAGCCCTTTTGACTTAAATCTATTGTTCTATATTGTTGAACTCCATAAAATCATACAGACTCTCTCAGTTCCAGAAGTAATATCACTGATCACTAGACATCCTGCTGGAGAATGTCATTGAAATTCCTGTAGCTAGAGCAATAAATGCACGTGCCACATTGGCCCCGTAACCAAGACACATGTGTGTGTCTGGTATAGAAGTGCCACACTAGAAGAAACTGCCTAATGGCTTCCCTTAAGCCACACCACTGTTTAGCAAATCTGCTATTTCCTTGTGTCCATTTCATCTATCCACAAACCCATAAGAATAAGTGTTTGTATTTTCATCATCCACTATTTTTTCTCTTATTGTCCCATCTGCTGAAATACTGTTGGAAGAAATTGAAAGAAAGAGAGAGAGAAAAAAATCCACATCCCTCACTAGCTCAAATAAACTCTGGAGTTTGATGATCACCATCTCTTACTGCTCTTCTAATTATCTTTCCAAGTGTAATAAAAAACTCATCTTCTCTAACCCCAGAAGATTTCTCCCCACCCTTTTGAGTTCCTTGATCCTCGTATAAATAGACATTATTTTTGGATGGAATCTCTTAACGAGTCAATCTGCACCTTATGACTACCTGAGGTCAGAGTTCTCCCTTGATGCCTAAACAGCTTAATAATTAAACACACATTCACTCATTTATTCTCTCTCTCTCACAGCACAATGAAGACTCACCAGAACATCCAAAGAAAATGTGAATACCCTTTGTGAGCCAGGTGTCTTCAACAAGGGACACATCTCAAGCTATCTCATTTTGGAAGAAAGGGAAATAAACATCAACAGCTAACAAAGAGCAACGCAAATTTTGTAATGTAAAAGCGGACATATTTGTTAAATTTAGGGCAGACCAAAATTTTGTAACAATTGTTAGAATGCTGTGGAATTTGTTTATGTATTGTCATTTCCAGGGGTTTTGTGAAATTTTATAAGTTTAATATATTTTAAAAGATTTTTATATTTTAATATTTATAATTTTTTTATATTTATAAAAAGATTTTTATATGCAGCAGGGCTAGATCCTGAATCCATCCTGAATCCAATAGCAAAAATCCCATTGACCTTAACAAAGCCAAGATTTTAACTGATGTTTCATGTTGATTTTTCAACAGTGAACGCAGCTTTCAATATTTACCAAAAGCATATGAGAAATATTAACCAACACAGGCCAGTTCGCATTTGCTGAAAGACACTTCCATATAAAATGCCAAGCTAAAAAGTTGAGGCAAAACAATGCAAGTGTTGTTCTTTTGGAGGCCCAATTTGAAACCCCTTTAAAAAAGCATGAATTTCCATACAAGTACCTAGCAATTCCTCAAAATCAGACTGCTCAAAAGCTTGGCACACAAATATTAAGATGTCTAGTAAATTGCTTTAACATCTTGGAAGACAAAACTGAAGAAATCATGACCAAGAGCAGTGGCTGGAAGTGTTCAGCTGGAATGGCAGTAGGTGTAAAAAGACCTTAGAAGTCCAGTATGGACAATTAAAATTAACATTCATTAGATTATTTTTTTTAATTGTGAAGTTAGAATATTTTTCAAATAAGTTATTTGGACTATTCCACTTAGACACCTTTGTCCTCAGCCTTAGAAAAAAAATCCTACCTCCATAGCACTTTCAGTTCCTGCCATCCCAGGAGACTAGAGCTGAGTCCCAAATATTCTTGCTCTCCACAGGGCACTTAAACTGTTGAGCTAGTCTTTCCATGGTGTTACAGAACCACAACCGTTTCTGTAAATTGCACCATTTCCACCTGTTGTTAGAATCAAGCATGCTCTGGCTGGAGGGCATGCTTATAAGTATCCTCTATCTAAAGATACTCCATTGACAAAAAGCAGTTTTAGAGAAACCTGTACGTTCTAGTGAGAACAATTTAGAGGCACAGAAGCTTTAGATCTACAAGCTCTTAACATTCTCCGGTGTTTTGGGTTGTATTCCCAAATTAAAAGATTAAGCCTTGAAGCCTCAGTTGATGAAGTTCTACTGACAATGGAGATACACAGATTTCTACCTGCTGGAAACCTGGCCTATAGTCCTCAATCTGTAATTCTTTCACTCTGCTCTGGAGCTGTCACATCCTCCTGTTCTGCTGTTCCACTATTACGTGTAGAAATTCAGTACTGTATTCCCTATTTGAAGAAAAAAAACTGGCAAGGAAAGAATGTGTGCTCTTGGCAGAAGTCTACCCTGGGATTATGCCAGCAAGCAATCATTTTCTGGTTGCCACAAGCATTTCATTATTTCAGCTGGGCTATTCAAGCCACTGCAGTTCAGGCTCTGTCAGTGTTTCCTTAATAAACCCCTATTATTAAGGGCTTAGACCTCAGCCATTAGAATTCCTGTTCAGCTGAGACTTGGTATTCAAAAGCCAGCCCAAATGTTCTAAAAAAATTCACACACGTATGTTGTTGCAGAGTAACAATGGTAGTTTGTTGGCTCTGAGTTATATTTGCACTTTTAAAAAACTAAAAAAGAAAAGCTCAATATTTTAGGTTTGTTTTATAAACAACATGCAGAAACTTTGGTTATTGTGGAAAAGAATTATAAGGGCGGTGTTTGGAGTGCACATTTCTACATGAGCGTGTGTGTGTGTACAGCACAGACAGATTTCATCTTCTCATGCTTTAAAAAAAAATTGCAGGCTTTTGGAGCAAGGTTCACACACACACACACACACACACACACGTTCTGCACAGACAGAACCAAGATGGCTGGCATGAACCATTATAATTCCATTGACTTCATACCTGTAACATATTATCTGGATCCAATATCTAGGTACAAAACCTTCCATAATACTGAAGTATCATGATGAGCAGACCTGGCTTTAGAATATGTGGTGTCCCACATACAAGTCTGTTACTATAAGGCATGGCTTAGCCAGTCTATCAAAAATAAGAGTAGGCCCATACTACAGTATTACTTTTTGGTTTTAAAAAAAAAAAAGCCCCCAACCACAAACATTGAAGATTTATCCCCCTTCCACTCAGCAGCTTTTCCCTACCAATGCAGATAAAGTTGTAAGTTCCAACACTTCTGGCTGCCTCTGTTGTCCCTAGACTTGATTCTCCTCTCCAGTATATTGCATACAGACAGCTGTGCTATGCAAAGTTGGAATAAATTGGTTATTAAACCTTAGAACCAGTGAACTATTTCCACTCTGCTCCTCTACAGCAATTCTTCCCTGGCACAAATTTAGATTCGATTGACTTTATACTGCTGAAAGAGGCCACCATTGCAAACTCCAAACAGAACTTGGCTAACCTGAGAAGGGCAGCAGTGAAAAAGGATCTGTTCTCTATTTATTGTCTATCCCCTTATTAACTTTCCTGAGGTAAACATGATGTAAATGGCATGTTTAAACTAAAGTACTTGGGAAACCATAAGGCCCCCATTCCATAACCACATCCAGTAATTCCATGCTCTACCCTTGCCCATTTGGTGATGCCCAGTGGTGCGACATGTCCTTTTCCAAGCTTCCTTTCCCATTACTGTTTTGGTTTAGGATTACTGCCTGGAATGAAGACCATGGAAAATGTTTGCCTTCCATAATAAAGAGGATTGACTTCATAGAGCATGTTAGCTGGATGAAACATCGGTTCTACCAAGGACTTGTGGAAAAAAGAGATAGTGGAGTTGCAGAAGGAAAGTGGTTAGAGCTAAGCAGATTATTTCCCATTTGCCACTGGATGTCATATGGTCCCACTGCAGGCAGTATTACAGTATTCTAGTACTACGTGTGGCGGTCGAGTGGTAGGCCGGAGCTATGGCCAGTAGCCCGAAACGGCAGGTGGGTACTTTTTGACCGATGGAGCGGAATTAGGCACTAAAGCGTATTGGTTGAACAAAGAAATTATTTACTTAAGCCGTCGGTGTACACAGCGCAGGAAGAAGAAACTGATTTAGGTTACAGTTGCAAACCAAACAAATGAAAGCTTTCTGAGAGCAAGATGAGACGTCCGTGAACAGCTGAACAGGCTAGCCAGACGAAGGGGGGTACGTCGGGTAGGTCGTTGACGGGGAGTACCTGGTAGGTGATCAGGCCACCAGGTATTCTCAGAGATATATGCGCGGAGTTCGAGCTCTCCAGGCTCGCTCTCTGAATTCTCCTTCTCCAAGGTGTATGCGGAGTGCTCCAACTTACTAAGCTGGAGAGATATGCGGAGTTCTCCAACCTGGAGCAATATGAGGAGTTCTCCAACATGGGCGGAAACTGATCTAACTTTTATATGACTAACAAGCCAATCGCTAGTCACCAATATGAATAATTTGGAACTGGTCAATAATGGTGTGTGTATTTGCATACGAATGGCGGGAACTTTTTCTAAGCTGTAACTTTCCATTACGGTGGCATATAGTTACATAGCGGAATTTTCCTACTGTGACCTACTTTCTCCCTTGCCATATGTATCAAAATTTTCCACCATGGCACAGGCATGCAGAATGACTGACAGCAGAATGTTCCACTATGGATCAAACCAAAGGAATGTTCCACTGTGCCATAGGCATACAACTATTTGGTTCTGACACTACGCTGATATAGTTTAAAGGAAACTATGGAGAAACTGGCCTGGGAATAAGAGCTTTTCCAAAGAAAAAATTCCCCCTGTAAGAACTATTTAGTATTCACCTAAGGACTAATGCATATTTTTCTTCGCAAAAAGCCAGCTGAAACCCTTTTACTCTTGTGCTATTCTCCAAATTCCCTAAGCATCAATGACAAGAGCAGCAGGCCAAGGACTACATTACCACTCTTGAACTGCAGCTAAAATTACAAGGGAATGCATAGAAGAAAGATGAGATGTGGCTGCAAGGCCTCTTGCACTGACTCCTCTCATTACCCAAAAAGAACCTTTGTCTGTTTTAAAAATTACTGGCAAAATCGGGATAGTGTAATTTAATTCATTATATCAGAATTACCCATGAAACTGAGGCTGAGATGACAGGAAGATAAAACCTCAGTCAGATATGCCCCTGGGTTTTTAGTTGCTTAAACAAAATAGGGCCATCAGATTTTGAAGTCTCCAAACTGGGCAAAATGCCATTCACGAGAGTAGATGTTTGGGTGTCAATTGCTTGCATCTGTAAATGGTTGCATCCCCTTACTGTACACACAAATCTTCCATTGCAGGTATTAGCATATAATTTTATAGGCAAAAACCTTGAGAAACATCACAAACATTCCTGCAATGCACAATTTGTGTAGAATGTGAATTGAATTAAAAGATTTACCATGAGTTTATGTATTTCTCCTACTTAATCTGATTATTTTGCTTTCTCTGTTTTGTAATTACAAGCAAAAAATATAAAGAAACCCTTTCTAAAACTACACTAACTAAAAAGCCCATGATAAGAAGAAAAAAGAAAAGAGAGACAGCTGAGAGATTTAAGACTTCTGATGAATTCGCTGGAAAGTTACAACTCTGCTCTGCGCGATATACAAAATTTTACGTACAGCTCAAAGAGACAGTAGACAGGTCAGCTGACCATTGTCAGCAGCATGTCTACCACCAATTTCAGAGGTTTCCCCTGTACGAATCACAAGTGTATAGTGAAATTCCAAACACAGGGCCAATGTAACCCACCACAAATTAAACATGCAGTTGCTCCTTAGGAGAGTAGATTGCTTAAAAATTGATGTGATATTCTAATTAGTGCTTTCTGTAAAGGTGCAGTACTGCACTGCCCCCTGCTGGAATGTGAACAGCCGACCATGCAAGAGTTTCCTCTGGCCATGCTGTAAGGGATGAATTTTAAAAATCACTGTACTGATAGTATAAATGGCATGTGTTAGCGCAATATAAAAAGAAAAAAAAGAGGGATAAAAACAAGTAAATTAACACACACAACTTAACCCTTATATGTTCATAGGACTAGCATTGATCTGCACAGGACTCCCAGTATTTAACCCTTGGAAAGATAACAACAACAACAAAAGGCTATCGAGTCTAAAATGTTTTTCACCTTGAGCAGATTTAAATTTATTAGTAGATATTAAGAATCATGAACCAAAAAGATGACAAAAGCCAGAAAGGAAATATAGAGTGCCCAAACGAGGGGCTAACATAAGAGGGATGGGGGCGAGGAGGGGAATGCAACTAGGTTACAGGAAATACAATGTTAGCCAGCTAAGCCCAGGATCTAAACACTGTATAAAACCAGCCCAAGTTCAGATTCAATAAACATCACTGGAGATAAAGACTTGAGTTTCTCAAGCCAAAGTCTTACATCTGAATACCATTTCAGTCAAAGGAGAAGAGTGGTTTCAGTTCCTGTAGATGCATGTGTATTGTTAAATAACTCTTTATCAGCTTGTGCCATTCTCCCTATTGGGAGAGATTATCCATGGGAAGCAGTTTTTTCTTTGGCTGCAGCAGTAAAGAACTCCTCCTGATGATACTTCCAACCTCTAGAAAGGGAATATAGAAACTACTGTATGACATACTTCAGGAGGGATGTGTCACCAATGGTAGATCCAGAGGAAAAGGGAACGAACAAGTTGCTTTTACTGCTCTTGCTGACACTGAGGCATAGGAAATCAAAATCTTTTCCCTCAAACTGCCACTCCCTTGGTTTCCT